TAGAGCATGCCTATTTGGGAATTGACGGAACTGTTTTGATGAACTGAGAGTTTGCAAATTCTGAGTTTTTTGTTAAATCCATGGTCACATGGAAATTTTCTGGTTTGTTTCTGAGATTTGAGATTGATTGTGAATTATGGATTTTTGGAAATCCTGCATGGTTTTGTCTCGGATATAGTCATGATTACTGACGCCCGCTAGTGGGAGCTATAAACGCTAGCACATGTCGACATGTATTTCTGTAGAACCGGTTCGTCCTGCCAATGGGATAAAACATTGGCACCATTACTGACGCCTGCCAGTGGGAGTGTGTTAAACACTTGCACCATTACTGACGCCTGCCAGTGGGAGTGTGTTAAACACTGGCCATGACTTATAGATGAGACTACTGAACTGAGTTTTATTCTGCATGAACGGTTTGTCATGAATGCTTTGCAATTGAACTGAATCTGATTTTGTCACTGAGCGTTTTGGTTATATTAAACTGTTTATCTGGCATGCTTAAAAGTTTTACCCCAGGGCTATCCATATTTACTTACTGAGTTATCTCATAGTTTTCCTTGTCCACCATTTCAGGAATCGAAACCGAGGACGGGGGAAACCAAGGGGAGTGACGAGTTAGAAGGCTAGCCACCTGTAATTTGATATAGATTATGATCCTGTAAGTTAGAGTGTATTTGGAGATTTTATGATATCAGAGCAGATTGTAAAAATTTTATCTTGAGATTTGGTGGTATCAGATGTGATTTGGATAAGTTCCGAGCCTTGTGCATTTGTGGGACCCTCTCACGAGTGCACGGCGTCTGTCGCGCCTCGAATTCGAGTTTTGGGGCGTGACATATACAGTGGTTTTGGTAAAGCTTCATCGGTTCTAATGGTGGACTGAAAACTGCTTATTTCTAAGAATTCCTTCAGCCATAGAAATACCATTTTTTAAGGGAATAATTGAGTGCAGCTAGAAAAATCAGATCTGGCCAAGATTTTGGTAGATTTCCAAGGATTGCCCAAGATATTGGTAGATTTTCCAAGGTCTGCTCAAGATTTTGGTAGATTTTCCCAATGAGATCAGATCTTTTTCAATAGTTCCCAAAACCATGGAACTTGTGCAGCCATCTTTTACATTGAATACAATTGCAAGTTGCTGATGGTGACTAAGATAGCATCTCTGGTTGGTTTTGAACGAGATTTTAAGCTTTTAATTAGCATCAAATAGTACGGTTTTGTGACCAAGTTCAGCCTCCACGTCTTTGCCACCCAGCCCTTTCTAGCGAAGTCAAGCAACCTAGCCAATGCTAGGCTTCGTTGGCGTGAATACCTCACTTCGCCAGGCAGGCAACATTCACCCATCCATGCCTGCCAAGCCATTGCTCCCATAGTTTATCCCGAATAATTCCCATGAGCTTGGTTTCATAGGTTTATTGATGACCTACATGTAGAAGTAGTAATTAGTTGATGAAGATGATGAGATTTAATAAATAAGGAAATAATAAAGGAAAGAGACTTCCTTATGTATTTCTAGTGATACAACCATGTATTGCAACATTAGATACTGCTAGGCCTAGCCATATATTACAGCATCATATATTGTAAGGCTTATGATAAATGCACGTTGAAGGCATTAATAGGTGCTTAGATTAAGGCGGGTTTTTGTGACATGGAAACTACTTGAGTCTAAGTTTGACTTTTTATAAAAACATCCATCAACACATTTTAATTGCTTTAAATACAATTTATTCTCCTAATTAAATTTGCCATTTCAACAATGAAATTTCAATCTAAATTATTTTGAATCCGTTTTTGAATCCTAAATTAAGGTTTATGTGCAACATTTTTCAATCTTAGCCTTATCAAAATCTCCCAAAACCAATTTGGCTGCTTTTTTCCATTAACACTTGAAGGAGACCATCTTCATTGTTGCATACACCATGCCCCTCTTCTTCAATTTGTTCTCAACAAACATTATTAATTCCATGGAAAGCTACTATGCATTTAGACCGATCAATTACCACAATCTCACCAACTCTTTCTTATACTAGTAATTATATTCTAATTCTTCTCTATTCAATTTGTTTCAATCTTGATTTTAAATCATGATTATTTATCTTTGAGTTTATTCATTCTTATTATTAAATTCACGCATGTAAGGAGAATGCATAAAGCACCCATATGGTTTTATGTTGGTAAGTAGTCACCTTTAGCTATGACAGTTGATTTTTTTATTAATACTATATTGGACTATCCTCATCTTATTAAAACCCCATTTTGATTCCTCTATTTTAACAAAAAGCCCATTTTTAATCCCTTTGCTAAATAAAGCCCCTCTTTTAGTTTTTAGAGTTTATCATCTAACCATTTTTTTGTCACATTGCTACCTTTTTGCATACAATGTGTTAGATGATAGAAATTCCAAAATAGAGGGACTAAAAATGGATCATCTTTTAAGTAGAGGGACAAAAATGGACTTTTTGTTAAAATAGAGGGATCAAAATGGGGTTTTAACCTCTCTTTTCCTATCTTTTCATCTTTATACTTTGCGATTTCTAATACAATATTAAGAAGATCTAATGTTAAAGATTGATTTAGGTTTATTAATCCAATTGCTTTTGTGAATAAAAAAAAAAAAGAGAAAGAATTCTTTTGTAATCTCAAATTGTCTTAAAAACCCTATCAAATTTTACCTTTATTTTATAAAACTTTGCTTAAAGTTAAAACTTAATAATTAGAAAATTCCCTTTCTCTATGCAACCTTCAACGATAATGATGGACACAATCTTTCAAATTTTGAATTTCAATTTCATTTGGGTGTTTATTAATAATGGCTTTAATATATTTTTTTCTTTCATTTTTGAGATGATAGCTTATCTTGCATAGTTTCATAGATCATAAATGGCTTAATTGGAAAAAAAATACTGGTGAGATAATAACTAATAATAATATATATTGTTTAACATACTTGCTGTAAATAAAAGAATAACCATTGCCGCAATCTCATTACATTACTGGAAATTTAGTTTTTTCAACACCTAACATTGGAAAATAAAACTTGGAACAAAATGTCTATAACCTACAATTAATTATGAAGGGTGACCAATGCCATAATTTGTCTTGGTGCCATAACATTTTTTTACTATTACCAACAAAGAAAAATTTTTAAATCAAAATATAAAATTCTTTTCCTTTTTTCTTTCAACATACAATGCTGTAAAATGTTTAAAATTGTCAAAATTAAGCGATAGAAATAGTCTAAAATTATTTTCTAGTGCTGAGTGTTAGAAAGTAGTCTTGTTCAATTGTTATATACTATTTTCTAATGCTAAGTGTTAGAAAATAATCTTGACCAAGTTGCATAGTTTATTTTCTAGCGCTTAGAATTAGAAAATAGTGTTGTCCAAGTTGTATATTCTAATATATATCTAAAAAAAGTCTATTTAGAAATTATACCAATGTCATTTTATTTAATCTACTTCAAACAAAAAGATTTGAAAAACTAATTTTAAAGGAAAGAAAAAAAAAAGAACAAAGCAAGAGCCAGTGGAAAGAAATTATGTAATATCCCAAATTTTTGGGAATATTTAAGTGTAAGTTAGGGACTTGATTGTGAGAAAAGATTGTTTTGGGGCATAATGTGAATATTTTGAAAGTTGAGGGACTTAAAGAGGGAAAGATTTTGGATAAGGATGACTTCTTTTCTTTTTCTTTTTCTTTCTTTCTTTTCTTCCCAGCCTTGCCCGATTCTGCTCTTCTTCTCCTTTCCTCCCGCTGCAGCCACCCGAAGAAAAAAAAAAAGGAAAACCCAGCCATGCCTTGGAAAATTGGTAAGGAAGCTTAGTATTTTCCCCTTACTTTCTTGTTCTAGAACCCATAAAGAACCCAGAAATTTCCCCTCCCTCTCTGCAGATTCCGGATCTGCTCTGCTTTGCTCTGTCCGCCGGCTGCTCTTGTTGTGGGGGCGAATTGCTTGGGTTTTGGGTAAGAAACAGCTACCAATCCCTCTGTTCTTGCTTGAATTAGCTTGGGTCTACCTTAATTGCTCTTGGGTTCCTTTAATTTTTGGTAGATCCGTGAGTTTCTCCCCTGCACTTGCCGCCGGCCTCCTCCCCAATCTGCACTCCGATTTTGCTTGCTGGATTTATGGTATGTGGCAGCTTCCTTAAGTCCTAATTTACCCCTTTAATTGTTGAATTTTGTCCATGGATTGGCTGCCCCTGTGATGTCCGAAAGTTTGCAGAAATTGGGGATGAATTTTGATAGCTT